AACCATAGTCATTTTTTATTCACATTTTATATCATTCATATTTTACTGTATATAAACATAGAGACGAAAGCTTAAAATATCAACATTTTAAGGCTCATATAATATGTGTTAGGTCTCTTGTATTTCTCAATCTCCAAGATGTAAGCTCGATTGAATTAAATGATACCTCACGGTGTAACCATAGATAAAAAAGGTCATGAAATTGTAGTAAAATTATAAAAAGAAAGCAATGCTGGCTTTTTTTGATTATTTTCAGACTCAAATGTTCCAATAACAAATGTGAAAGTGTTCAAATCCATTAATAGAAATACGTACTGCCTCCAACGCGTTTTTCTCATTTACAACAGCATACTATAATAGCATACATAGCATACTATAATAATATTTTGATTCGGAATATATTTACGATTTTATTGCTATATATCCAAGGCAACAGCAAAGTTAATGTATTTTAACGTTCTTATTTCTAAATCAAAATGGAATAATGTAGCTCATGAATTTCTCCGTCACTGAAATGCTCCTTTTGTGTTTATATATGTCATCATTCCATTATGACTGCAGCTGAGAACTCCTCATTTGCCCAATTATACCATCGTTGGCCAGTGGCGCAACGGAGCGTTACTCGGGCGTAGTTACGACGATCAGTTTTTGTCTTGGTGCAACGGGCGTAAGCAGGGAGAGTAAACCTGGCGCACGGACGCCAGGCGTTGCTGTTTACGACAGTCGTAGCCGAGTAAATTTACGCCCTGTTGGTGCAACCGGGCCCAGGAGAATAATAACACCACGGACTGGAAGAAGAACTCGTATTCGCTCTCAAATAGCCTTAACCTTCCGACCCCATCTGATTCCATGCTAACCGCTTGTCCAGCGAAGTTAGGGACACGGTGTTTGTCCACGCCTTCGGTTTTTATACAGGAACGCTGCAATTCTCCACTTCTCCGTGCACGGCGTGATGAGCATGGTTCAAAGCAGTCCTCTCTGGCAGACAACCAAAAGTCTTTTTCTGGTCTTCTTCCTCTTATTCGAGTCACAAATTCCGACTGCGATCTTCGTGATTCTCAGAAATTTTCAGAAATTCGGGACTCGAAAGAAAGGTTGACAATGCCTGCTGTGGCCCCAGGGGCCCACCCCCTCTGTCTAAGGAGGGCAAGGAGCCAGGAAAACCCGCGGCAACTGGGTGGCTGCGGAAAGCAGTTTTATTCTCCTCGGTTGTCGAGGAAGACTGTATTGAATACCAGTATTACGACGGATATATTTAGAAAACAGGGGGAGAAGGTTTTGAGTTTTGAAAGAGAGAATTCTGATGAGGCAGATGCACAAACATCGTCAGGTATGCAGCTCAGTGTTTCCTATATTCGTTTCACCATAACCGAAAAAATATGTTACTGTTCAATTTATTTTGATCAAGTTAAAAATCCCCATTACTGATAAAATTGAGTAACTATTCACTTAAAAATCCCCATTTCTGATAACATAGAGTAACTATTCACTTAATTTTAATAAAGTTGAAAATCACTTAAATAATTGTACCGAAATAAAAATGTAAAAGCATTAAAGATAACATAAAAGATTTTGAAGGTTTTGTTAAAATTGCACTCACAAAGCTGATGAGGTCTTTGGGCACACGATAAATAATCTGGGTACTTAAATTATTTAAAGTCCATTGTAATTTTCCAATAAAAGCCACATGCTACACTACAATAAAGATATGATTTACAAGATAGCCCCTTAACATAGATTTACACATTTGACAGGCGAATATTTACTACAGTACATTTCCAATAAGCATTATAAAGAAGGTAAATAGCTATTGCTTTAGCAATAAGTCTTTTTATCAAGTAATGACCCAATCCTCAAATCACTTTTGAAAATGTACCATAAGATGAATTGTCAACCTGAACACACAAAAAATTAGTACAACAATAAAAGTTTGAAACTCGTGTTTATTTTCATAATCTCGTGTCTTTTGTTTGAATTGATGTATTGATCGATCGCTGTGGGATCAAACTGATATCGATTAGCATGCAGTTGTTTAGCAAAGCTGTGCCACACTAAGTAACTTAACACAATGCCGTGTATAATTGGTGCCTATTAAGGCCTATATATAACTTAACGGCACCCGGGGGTGGCTTATATAATTTTCCTAATTGGCGGTGCATCAGTAAAACAACTGTATATTTAATTGAAATAAGTCGATGTCAGTCTGTTATGTTCAACAGCAGATATCCTGTCGTAATCAATAGGTGTGAGTAAACACCTGGATTATTGTGAAGATGTTCAAGCTATGAACCCGTGCCTACAGGTCTTTTACATAGCATATTCATGATATTTATGAGAACAAGAGGCCTATGATTTTAAACCATATTTCCTCCTATTTCTAGGACAATGAAATTGGTCAGGCCCAGTCAAGTTTACAATGTTTACATAGAATTGTGGCGATATTACTCAAGCTACCAATAAAACAGCCATGCACTCCATTTAGTTCAATCAGTTGCTATCAAAGTGACTTATTATAGCCTCCTACGTGCACTTGCTCTTCATTTGACTTTTGGCTATCACTATTTAGTTGATTAGGTTTATTTTTCAGCGGAGGATTTCCGTTGCAGGGAACCGCGCTGATCAAGAAGTGTTGTTTGATCGATAACCTGCCTTCACTCCTGTCTGTGGTTCCTGTGCTGAATATATAATCTCCGTGATTGAGAGGGTGGAATCTCAGGATGTGAATCAATAGTACGGTTTTTCCATCCGGGGTGTTAATTAATAACGCTGTTACCTTACATACCTTTATATATTATACCTCATCTAAGATTTCCCAATCATTGCCAGTTGTCAACATTTTTTTCCATTTACAAGTTTTTGCATTTTAACCGAAAAGATATCTTAAAATATTATCCTGAAGTTTACGCCATATTTGTGTATACCACAAACATGTCTAAATAAAATAATTTAAATCCAGTTATTAAGGAGATAAATACAATTGAAACAATATATCGATGTGTAAACTGTACTTAAACGCTTACAAATATAGGCTCTAAAATAAAAGACAATTTCATTCAGAAACTTAACAATGACGACAACAGATAAAACTTCAGAAGACAGGTTTCATTAAGATATAATAGACAGCCAGCATTCTAGACGTTCTGGTAAAAGATGCTCGTTATCCAATATCCGCTGTCTGACAATTATTTCAATGTGTTATTCTGTAAACTGACAACCGAATTTATTGTCATCCTAGGGCAATGCATGTAGCTAACATGAAGTATTATGTTACATTAAGCTTTAATAACCCCTTGTTTCCAAGTCTTTTTAATTGATTTTATTTTTATTTCCACTTAACACTTACGTATTACCATATAAAGAAGGGATTACTAGGCAATAAACTTGTCGCAAACGACAAAACATGCAATAACCTGAATACATACAGATATATTTGAAGACATATTTCCCACATTTGGTTAAGAGTGCTGTCATTCTTATTTTCCATCCTTAGAGCAATATCAGCATAGTAGCAACGGTTTGCATTTGTTCTACTGGAAACATTGTTTACAACACCTCTAATATAGGCCTACTTAAATTCGGTCTCCGGCATGTTTCCATTATCTATTTATATTTAACCTTTGGGAAACCACGCCATTATCACTTTTCATTCATGATTTATTGGAAGGACACCTCTGCATATTAATTTGCTTGTGTTTATTTGTTATTAGGTGTCATTGTTAATTTATATTTTCTACAGATCCAGCAGAGAAAAAAGCGGCGTCCTCTTTTTATCTTGGAGACAGCGTAGAAAGCCTGGAGTCACGTGAGGAACGGTATTCTTTGTCGTCTGCAGGAAGTTCTAGACAAACAGAAAGTCTAGAGTCACAAAGCGATCGTAACTCCTTGTCGTCTGGTGGAAGTTCTAGAAACCAGTCTCAGATGGACAGAGCCGATAGTGCAAAGACAGAACAATATGGTAATAGGCCAATCACAGATTCCCACTATGAAGGACACCGTCTTCAAGAATGCGAAAATTTAAACGACAGCTGAGCATGTATTTGAGACTTTGTTTCTTATAATGATACATACAGGAAGGGGCCCCAGTGATATCTTCTTTTAAAAGACTGATTTTAAGCAATGAGAATGAAATGATGTAGAGAAAATCTGTTTCTTTCTTTCTTTTCTTTTTTTTATTATTACACTGAATTCTCAAAGGTTAATGAGAAAAGGTGGCCTGTTGTTCTATTTTCACGTATAGCTAGGATGTAGGTTGGCAAAGAATCACTACCACTGCACGGAATGTTTTATGGAAATACGTGTAGAAATGGAAGGGCAAACTGAGAATCAAATTGTCTCATTATAGAATCATATATCATTTGAATGTCTGTCAAGTGACAAAGCTGCCATGTTTTGGCAATCATTTTTTTTTTCAAAATTGTTTTTTTTTCTGTGTATCTCCCTTACAGAAATGGAAATAAGAAGTCACAGTTGCTAGCAAATGGTACTTGATAATGTGGAATAAATATCAAGGTTAACGACCAATAACTCCCTTACATGTATGGAAAAATAAACTACATTATAAAAAAGAACTTGAACGGCAGAAAATGCTTTTATTGACTTTCCGTAACACATAGAATTAAAGAAAATTTGCATGGAACAACCACACATAAGTTGGCACAACCACAGATATAGCACATCTTAGTTCATCACGCTTTATATATATATATATAAATAATACTGAATAAAGTTGAATGTTACAAATGATGGCCGTGAAGTGATAGGAAGCTTAATAAAATGTCGATATATTTCTTTCATGCAGTGAATATCAACATGAACTTGGTGGGTGTGCTTGAAATGGCGTTGACATCGTTTAATTAAACCCTTAATGGACAGAAATACATAAGTTCGGTGCAAGTTCCAAAATCAAATATACCTTACAAAATACTTTTTATATGTTAACTTGGCTTAATCTTAATAAACGTTTGCATGTTTTTTCCCATTCATTCAAGTAAAAAGACATTCTTTTCATTCCGTACTGCAATGTAACATTTCCTACAAATATAAAAACAATTAAAGACGCCATACCCCCATGAATGGTTCTTTCAGTGTTAACAGACAAAAACTAATTTTCTACACGATACAATGCTACAGCATTGGTGGGATCGGCGGGTATAGGTGTTTGGAGCCACATCCTAGGCCCAAACTTGTTTTTAACGACGAGGTTTTTTATCAGTATGTTAAGGAAGATTAAAGTCAATGTTAATCCTTTGTTGTTTCCGTGATTGAATCACATCACTTTTTATGCGATTTCCTGACAAATCTGCCACGTTTGTGTACCTTTCTAAGCCATAAAACAGTAGAAAATCAACCAAACCAAGGGCTGATTTGGCAAATACGTCCCCATTCTGTTTGAAGTATCTTTGTGCGTCGTATTATTGTCTTCGTATCTTAATGCAGCAAGTGAGAGTTGTTCTAGAAGTATGTTATGGCATATCAGGCTTGGTTCCCTCGGCACGTTTCAGCCACTGCCATACGGAGTCGTTTTTATCTTGAGGGAGATACGGCGACTTGGCCGAGTCAGGGACGTGGGTCGTTTCCACTTCATTCGCCTTTTGTACTGCCTCTAATTCTCTTGGAGTAATATCCTTTCTAGTGTCTGTATCACGGTGCTTGAGATTCATCCTCTTCGTACGCAAGATAATATGATTTAATTGAGCCTCGTTTTTGCTGTGTCTACCCAGTTCTGGTCCGTGTTTAACACTGCCATTTGGGTGGAATTGCACGTGCGTGTAACCTCGCGAAAGTGTCAGTACTCGCGTGGGCGCACACGAATTTACTGTCAAAGCGTTAATACTGGAATGTCTGTTGAAACTCATCCTTGCTATTACAGCTCTACTGGACAACCTTGGGTGAGAGAAAATCTTCGTTCATGCTGTCTCTGTGATTTCAAAGTTCAATAAGTTAAAATGTCTTCGTTTCCAAGCGATTACCTGCCTTGCAACACAAGGATTAATTTAATATCGCAAAGTGCAATATTCTAGTAATCAAACCATATGTGCAACTCGTTTTGCTGAGCGCCATCTTATATAGTTTTTCGGTGGGAACGAAAGCTTCCTTGCTTCTCTTAAACTTCTTCCAACACTGCCCAGTTATGTGTCCAATTCAGCCATATTTTGGTGGGTTTTGGTGCATCTCCTCACCGCTGTTTATTAATGGCGTTACAGAGCGTCTTTTACCTCATGGTGGTATCAAACTTGAAGGCAAATCTTAGTTCACATCTGACCCACGGGGATCGCGAAGGATCAGCACGAATCATGCGCAAAATTGAGTAAACAAATCTGAATCAATTCCTTTCTTTCTGTGGCTATAATATTGGTTTAGTTTTCTCCTTTTATTTCTTCCTCTACAACGACCCAAGGTGAAAGCACAGCGTGTGAAAGGGCAGCCAGTGTGCGCAGCCTTTGGTAAACACGGACTATACAACTTAGTGTAGAAATTAAAATATTATGAAAAGTTTATTAAGCGAAGTGTTTATTGTTCGCAATCTATTGCCACTTGTTTACGTGTTACAACAGGCAGGGCAGAGCACATTAAAGAGCCTTACCGACAGGTGGAATGTTGCTAGGGATGGAGACTTGTCGTCAGTGCTTCGTCACAATGAAGGGGGATTAAAGCGTCTTATGTAATATATTATTCATAACACATTGGATTAAAATAGTGCAATTTAGTTTTCAAGTAAAAAAAAACGCGTTTATATTATATTTTTGAAAGCGTTAACATTCTGAAAAGAAACTTTTTTCATTCAGACGATCAAAATGAAGTCATACTCTTTAGTAACTATGTTATATGTTCTTTATTGTGAATATTTATTATAATTTTCATTTTACAAAAATGACATTTTCATTGTACTGTTTAATCGTTCATTAATTATAAAAATATTCATTTGATGGGCTTGGAATCAATAATGCTTTGAGATACGCTTCTCCTCTAACACAATTGTTACTTTAACAACGTCACTGGAGGGTTCATAAACACATTAATTTACTTTTTAGTGGAAGGTAAAGAATATTACTTTTTTCAAGAATCTATAACGCTAGAAATGCCTTTTGACATCAGTTGTGTAAAGGCGTTCAGTGGCGTTTTTGCACATGCAAGATTGATCAAATTATATAATTAAAATATTAGTGACAGGCATTTAGGTGTTTGAGTAGGAAATGATTTCACTTTGTTGTTCGATTTGAACGAAGATAAAAAGGCAAACCTTATTACGATATATGAAGGATTTGCACATTATCTATATCAACCTGATGATAAATATCCTTTTCAGCAAGTGCTCTTCTATATTTCTAAACAAATAATTTATTTAGAGATTGTCTCTGGAAAGCAACAAAATACTGCCATGGGATACGATTTATCTGATCACGTACCAATTACTAAATGAACGGATGTTTTCCAAAGTCTTTTATTTGATAACGGATGGCTAGTGAAAGAAAATCGTTGAAGTATGATTCCGATGACAGGTCTCGATTTTCAGATCAATGACTGATAGACTGACAGAAAAAACAACATATATGTGGGTTTCTAATTTTGCTCTGACACAGACGAACATATTGATATTTGATATACTTGATCATTTTATTGCAAATATCCACATTACCTAGCTATAAATATGTCATGGTCGTAATTGAGCATCTGATAGGTAGAAAATGTAAAAGAAGGCATCCCCCCACACCTCTACATATAAACTTAGACATCCGGTGGGACGTATAGGTATTATGATAACAACATTGGCAATGGTTTATCTTTGGTTTTGTCAATGTTTGAAAGTGTTTACCCTGCTTTTTATGTCTGTTCAATTGTATAAAATGAGACATATAGACTTAAGCACCCGTGTGGCTTACGGACATGGATATGGCAAATACAGAGCACTCTGAAAGCCATATTGTCATTGTGTTGACCAATCTTCCCGCTAGGCATCTCTTGGGTCCATGATGTAACTACTCAATATATTGAAAGTTCGAATTACAAATTGCCGCAAAGCAGGGTGATATTTAATACCACCCCATGACATTCAAACAATAAAAATCAATTACTTTTGCCCATACTGTCCATATTCTCTCAGTCTGCCTGAAACTTGATTGTTATTAAAAATCATCCACAAATAGAGAGAAAATACTCGAAATCATCTCTCTCCTGGGTTCTGGCATTGTGCAGCCATTCCCATATATCCTGCTTCTTTCCACTGTTCAGACTATGAGATGACACGGTTTGAGGGACCACCAGTTTAGGGGCGGGTTTATTTCTTATTTGGTCGTAACTGTCGATGTGTGCTGCCGTCTTGATGTACCTCTTTTCTTTCCGTCTGTGTAACCCGTGTCCAATCTCACTATGGCGTCTGTGTGTGCCGTATTCACTGCGTCGTCGGCTGAGGTCTGTCGTTCGTGTCATCTCGCGCTGTGGTTTTTTGTCGTCTGCCTCATCTTCGTCAGATTCGTGAAATTCCTCGTTGTCTTCCTGGACACTTTTGATAATATTCTGAACTTCTTCCCGTAGTTTTATCACTTCGTCTGGAACCTTCTGTTTCATTGGAAGATATAAGTCAGAGCGTTGCTTCTTTTTGCTAATATGAGCACCAGTCCTAGGAATAAGTTTCAAGTAGTCTTGTCGAAATTTCTCAGAATCAGAATTAACCTGCACCTCCATGATGGGTCTAGATTTGTCCAGTCTGTTAGACCAAGTATTCGGGCGTAACAGCACCTTTGATGCACTATTGACCAACTCATCGTTGTAATCTTTGACTGGGTGGGAGTAAAACGGCTCTCGGAACATGGCGCGCAGGTCAGTGCGGTAATGATTGTCCACCGAGTTTCTTCCCCTGTCGTTAGGCAGCAGGTACGTTATCCCGTGACTGACCCTGCTTCTAGCCATAGCGTCCTTCATCTTGGTCAGTGGCGGGAGATCTGGACACTGGTACTCGTGGGTGTCTAGATTGCCGCGTTCGTCCTGGCTGTCCTCCTCCAACGCCTCCATGAACCGGACCTTGGACCAGAACTTGCCGGACGCCGCTCGTGAGCTCTTGGACCCCGTCCTCGGGTTACTGCGGCTATCGCTGCTGCTTTTACTCTTTGCAGACGCCATGGATGTGGTTTTATACTATGATAGCTAATATTAAGCCTGGAAATAAAGAAAAAAGTTTTAGGAAAACTTCCCAGTGTGATCTTCTTATCCAGGGTCACTGTGTTACTGTGTTTTATCTGAGGGTTTTGGAGTACACAAGATAAAGATATAAGCTCATGTAGACTTATGTATATTGATTGACTAATGCCATATATTTCTACTTGAAACCCATGTGACTGAATATATACCACAGTTTCTATGTTATAATAAGTAGACCTAAACCAAAAGCAGTATAAGAAGCAGGCTATCACTGTCATAAACAGTACACCGGTATATGAATGGAAGCTTGTAACAACTGTTGTAAGAACTATATGATGTTATATACTCTAAGCCGATCTCTTACCGTGGATACCATGGCCATCAAATTCTTCATATCCAGCTATGTAGGGAAATTTCTATTCTCATCCTTGAAGTTGTTTTTCCCAAAATTTCTTTACCGGGACCTTCGTCTACTTTGTAACTGAGGTCCAAGTTCTTTCATACCACAAAGTTTGCCCCAGCGCGTTCCACCCTGACCCCGTTTCCAAGGCGTTCAGAGCAGTTAAACTATCCGATTTCCATTCAGCGGCCCTAACGCTGTTGTAGCTGTGCGTTAAAAGTTGAAATTACACCCCTCAGCGATTTTCAACACAACCAAAAATAACAACAAACATTGTGCTTTCGTGGGTGCATTGAGAGGTACAATAACACATAAACTTTCGCATATAATTTCCCCGACTCCTGAGGCATCTAGCGGAGATATGAAACACTATTCTGACATCTAGCAGCAGTTGATTTTAACGCTGTGGATTGTACACAATTTCTCTTGGGTCCACACATGCAGAGTCAATTCATCACTCTGTTATTATAAATTATAAGGGAAGGATATATAAAGATATGCACTTGATGCAACTGGTTTAAAAATCAATATTTGTCACCACGCACCTGCGATATTTCTGTAACCTGCCGTAACCTTTCATAAAGAAAATCGATCAACATTTAATTTTATAGATTTATATTACGATGTAGTCAATAGCACATGGGTTGCTCATCTCCGGCGCAGCTGATTGACCATTGACAAACTGCCACTGACAAGTAAACGTTATTTTAAAAAACGTGTCTATTGCCGTGTGTCGGCTTTCAAATAGTCCATAAATGTAATACAGTTCTTATTGCAATTCATTCATCAAATTATAATTCTGGTTCGTCTCCAGCCGAGGCTAATGTTGTTGTCTCTCGTCAAATGGTACTTCTAATCAGGCGTGGGTGGGTTTTCATGTAGATGATGACATGTTTTGGATAACTTTTAAAAAG